GATTTGGTCACAAACGGTAAAACTGCATAAAATAAAATAGAATATTTTATATATATTTAGATAAGTATTTCGCGAAAATTTTCCGATATACTGTGGGTTGCCGATAACGCGGTTTTTCACTCTGTTCCCTAGCACTCGCGTTATAACGGGATTTTACTGTATTGTTCTTCAGGCATACCTGAGTTGGATTCTATTGAAATGTGCAAATTACAAGTAAAAAGTTAAAGTGACCAAATTTAGGGCATTTAAATATTTTCGTAAGCACTTGTAAGTTCGACGCGTTCAATTGGGAGAAAGAGGCTTGATTCCATAGCTGGGCCAAAACTATTTGGTGTCATATCTTAAAGTCGCATGATATATGCACAGCACAATATTGATAAAGAACATTTTTAGACTGCGATGTGCATTTCGATAAAGGTTAAATTGCCATGGTTTTCTTTGTGTTTGTAGGAAATTGAGTCTTTGGTATTATATCTTATGAGAAATAGTAATATCTAGGAGTGCCATCTAGTTTTGACATTGTTGCTTCTAGGTGAGGTTGATCCGATTGTTAATGTATTGATTATTAACGTCTAAAACTTATTATTTTCATTACCATGCAAAAGGAAAATATTTATATTCAGAGAATAATTTAGAGTTGAGATGGGGCAGATAAGAGCTAAAACGTCGCACTCCAAATGGTTCATATGCATTTCGGTTAATACCATTAATACGATAATCCGTTAGAATGCCGCAACGTTTCTTGGTATGAAATACATAGTCATCAGCAGTACATATTTCTGCAAAAGGGACAATTTGCGCAGAATGTCTTCCCAACTCATACTATTAAAAGCAAGGTTCTTTTTTTATTTTTGACATTGACCAATACCTCCTGAGCCATATCTTACACTGTTGATTGAAATCGATATTACTGTACCATGCCTCGAGAAACCATAGGCAAGGGTAAACAGTTATTTCTGCTGATGTTCTACGATTCAGATGATATCATTTTGGTTCCGTAACCGATATTGAAAATCTCACAGGTTAATCTGCAGTGCCTCATCTTCCATTAGTGGACCAGTCGCCTATAACATGTCAAACTAAGTGTGTATCGATTGCATTGTTTATATTTGCTGCACTGTGCTTTGGTTGTGTAGGTCTAACTCTCCTGGCACATTATTCTCTTCAAGTTAATGACTAATTTCTTTAGTATGAAATACGATACTTGTGTGTGTGCCGAATGGTTGTTCGCGATCTCGCTTATTTTCACTGGTTTTTATTTTAAGGTCAAACAGTGGCCAGAAATCAAAGATACGACTGAAACATGGAATGTAGACGCGTTCGTGGACACTTTGCAAGATATGGTATTTCGGTAAAATGTGATTTTCAGTTAATCGCTTTTTCTTCAGTTTCCGTCCCTCAATTGGAACGAAGTTGTTGCTGAGTTAGACCACCCAGAATTCTATGTTAAAGATCGCCAGGGATTATTCCTTTTGACTCGAGCCTTGCTGAAAGGTTTCAGAAAATCCTCTTTTCCTGTCAGTCATATTTATCTATTGTGGACGAATAAAGAAGGACAAGTATGCTTCATGTGTTTTATATTTTTAATGTTTTTGCATCAGTATCCTCGTCTCCTTCAAATGCACGCTAATGATAAATGTATTTATACGTTGCTGGGCATTTCTCTGCAGCGTAGTCTTCAAAAATGCCTTAAGGTTTAGTGATTGGATTGCCAGGGCTGTGCATTACTTCGTATTTCGGAATCCTGCTTATTCTGTGATCTTTACTTTAATCATTTACGAAGCGGCACATGCATTTGTATTTTCTCTGTTTTCTGGCATATTAGATAATTGAAATTAATTTACGCGACCATGATTTTCTGACACCTGTTCCACAGAAATGACCGCACGGTTTAATGTTGGAGACACTAGGATACTCACGCAAGCACGACGAAATCTATTCTGGCCTTAACACCCATCCTGCGAGTCGAGCTTTCCATTCCTCTGGAAGTGAGCATCCTTTACCACCATGCGTCGAGTTAATACCGGCCGGTCGTTCCTCAGACATCGTTCAAGTTACCTTCGCCAGTCAAGCAACGAACGTTGCAGTAACTAACAAGAAACTTACCTCTTGTGTTGTTGAAAGCCGGTACTGCGAATTTCTTGGTTCCTATCTGTGGTAATTTTCGAGCAGGAAACGCTCCCTGCGCTACTCGTTTCATCCAGAGCAATAAATATCGCCGCTGCTTGCTAGGAAATCACCTGACAACTGCCCTGAATTTACTTCTCAGTCATTTTCTCAGCTCCCGTCTCTACTGCATGTGGCTTTCGTCTTTTTCGCTTTGATTTTAAATGTCTAGCCACCCAACCATGACTTTTTCTTCAAAGGCTGGAAGCCGATGAGTGAATTCGGAGCATCTTTAACCGATAATGATTAGCTGTCCATACTTTCTCAGTGTCTTTGCTGTGATCTCTTATAGTCGAAATCGATTGCTGAACGAGATGCATCGAGTTGTTATGTTATTGCCTGACATGACATATGAATCGTACTGCTTCAAAGAGCGTTTTTCTTTGAAACTCCAGCGCAAGCCTAGTGCCAAGCTCCAGGTTATTCAACGTTGGTCAGTATTTTGTGCCACCTAATCTCCTCTGAAAACAGGAAATGACTTAAACTCACGACGGTTTCTTGTCTGACTCATGAATTAATCTCTCTCCTTCGTAATTTTCAAGTTCCACATCCAGCGATGAAAGTTTCGACCCTGGAATCGGGATCTGGACATAGAAAAAATTACAGCGGCGCAAAGCAGTAGAATTCTATTAGAGCTGTCGTCTTGGATCGAAAGTTCTATTTCGGTAGACCTTGAGTGCCGTGATAATGTTCATGCCCCCGTAATAAAAGTGATTTTTCATGCGGTATAACACTGCCAAGGAAAACGGCTAGCTAATGGTGTAAGTTTTTTTCGGATTTTTCGGAGTCGTCATTTTATGCGTAGGCAAGGATGATGAACATGAAGCCGCGTCGATGCGTCAGCATGGCAAAGAGAAGACGCGATGAAACAGGCATCTAAACGGAAACGCATTTTCCTGTGACCGTTGGATGAGTTTTTTCACCTTACGTCTTTTTCGTTCTCTCCGGAGTGTAGTAAGATGAGTCTTCAACTGTGCTGCGACGGAGTTAAATCACAAGGGCTATGGGGATTCTTGCAATACAAGGGATTTTTAGAAATCAAGCAGCAGGAGAATATCGTCATCGATAATATGGGAAGGTAATTCCCTTACCGCTGTTAATTGGCGCCAAGTCCTTAACAAGGTAGGCATATTCCATATAGCAAGCCACATTTTCTTGCCCATGTCTGGTACGTGCTTCTTGAACATTCTCTTTCTTGGAGGCAGTTCTTATTTGTGCAGTTCGTTTTTCCTCGTTCACTTTTCACACCTGCCGAATAAGATGCACGAAACTTTTTAAATATGTGGAATGTGTGCAGCACGGGCTCTGTTATGTTGTATGTTCATACCGCTCGCTATTGTCTCTACAAAGCTGTGTTTCCTTGTGATTTAGGAGACAATAATCCTAATCTTAACGCTTCAGCAAAGTGAGTCATTGATACTTTTCGAGAGAAGGTTAACGTGCTGAGGCCCAGTTGTTCAGAAGTTCTGACTGCAGCATTCTGCGCATATCCCCATGCAAAATAGTGACTGTTTAAATTGCATGCATAGACAATGGGATAAACTAAAGTTGGTATGGATGCTTGGCCAGTCGATTCCGGGTGGTTTGTCTACTTTCATTGCGGCGATTTTTCAAACTGGAATTTCCTGTGTTCGTCCGTCTGATCTTGACTGGTATTTTGTATCATGATATTTATCAGGTCTCTTCTGTTGTAAATAGCTGAGCTGTTTGGCATCGTTTAAGCCATTAAACAGGCTGTGCCATGAAGTTTTGCATGTGATTGTTTTCTCATCATATTTTCTTTCTGGTTCCTCGTTAGATGTTCACGTTCTGCGTGGGAAGCCTCCTCAGCGTTTCGCTGGCAAATGTTAAATGTTGTGCCTACGGCCTATTTATTTGGCTTTATGTGGACCGCCTGGTTTGTATGATATGTCATGGACTGGCTTCTTTGCCAAGCTAAATTTGATCACATACGCTGGGAAATTTCTTGTATTGTGCTGTTTTCCTAGATTATCTCACTAGAGTCCACAAAATACTTAACTCTTATGTAGGTACAAGCATACAGATGATATTGCTTGTATCTGCTTATTTATCTGTGTACTAAATTCTTTTTTCCAGCTTTCATGGATATCGCAGATAGTACGGAACACCGACGTGTTTTGTCTTCTCGACTATCCTTGCCGAAAAATTCAAAACGATTTTATGAAATCTTTTACGGAAGATAACCGAGAAGTGACGCAGTGGTAAATCTCCTATGATGTTGCACTTCAGTTTTTTACTATGACATTTTCAGGATGATTCTAGACTTAGTTGAAATCCTGCTAAGCCTCGGAGAATGCGCTGGTCTCTATACGGGCGTTTTAGAGTGCTTAAATTTCCCTATGCAGCAGTGCCCTGATGTGCTTACTTTCACCTTGCTGCAAGTCACGGTATGCTTTGTAGGCGTTTTAATTGGTGCTAATTTCATTATTAGGTACCTTTGTCGACATTGCGACAAGATCTGCTGCTGTCACTTATGCCGATATTTTTTGGTAGCCACGTGAACTCGTTGGTAGTCTTGAGTTATGCTTGGAACAGCGTCGTATGTTACCTATCGTAATTTTCGGTGATTTCGCTGTAAATTTATTGGTTTAGACGCACAATCAGCAGAGCATTAGAAATATTGTTTTACAATCCTTGACCAGTTGGTATTTCAAAAACCAGGATGATCAAGCCAAGTTATCAAGGATACTAGAAATCGCGCATGATCTGAAGGTGAAGTTGCAGTTTTGTATCTGTATATAGTTTTTTATGTTTATCGTTAGATTAGAAATTAAGTACTGGCTGATACGTTTATATATTTTAACTAAATAACTTCCGCAATATGTAAAGCTTAATGTTTTTGAAAACGCCATAGTACTGTAATGGGGGCGTAAATCAGGGACTGTTAACGTCACTCAGAACATTGGTGATTAATAATTTATCATAGGCACGTAGCCATTACACTGGATTTCCGGCATTATGATACCTTCGCGTTACTCATTAGTGCTTAGGGGCCATTTAAGCCGCAGTTTTATCGTATGTCAGGATCTGCGGTGCATATGGGCTCTTCGCGTCTTTTTGTAGGAGTTTGTTTACCCGTGAATTCTTGTTTGGTGTCTGATGGAACTATGGACTTAGTGGCCTACTTCCCGACGTGTTAACGTATGTTATTTAATTTATTTGAAGTGTTGGCTCCTCCAACATGACTGATGATATAGATGGCATTGCTGTAATCAATAAATTGACGGCAAATGATGTCAGTGCATCATCCAGCGCAACATACCCCATGTGTCTGCAGGGTGAGAAGATGCTCCGCCAGTGGATGTCTCGCTGAACGTACAAGCGCAACGGAATATTCAGGAAGCAGCTATTGGCCCAACAGTTATATTCACAGACCCCACGAGACTAGTTTTTATTGCACAACATGTGTATAACGGTTTAGGTTGCAGCGAAATGGGCTGTTTGTAAATTGAGTGAAAAATTGGAATTCTTGAACAACGCGAACGGAAAACAAACCATTCAGCTAATGATATATCCTCCAAAGAGAAATCGTCAGTATTGTACAGCTGTAACAAATCTATGAAACTGTTGCTTGTATACTGATTGTTGCAGTGCTGCTGAAGTTACTTTTCCTTATCCTTTGCGGTGACATCAAGTGTTAGATAATCTTTTCTATCTGTCTGAGTGTTTCTGTCTTCAGCGAGGCTGCACCCTTAGTGAGCGTCTGTCGGCAGTCAAACAGTTCATGACGGTAAATGTTTTAGGCGCTAACAGCGTTGTTCAGTGTTCCGCAACATTTGTTTTCAATCGATCTGGCTTGTTTGGCGTCGCGAAGGGACTATCTGAAGTTGGACAAGTGGATGAACGATAAGATCGTCGAAAACGGAGTAGGTTTTGGCGTAAGCTTCGAGTATCGCAGTTATCCTTATGTATCTTCTAGGAACCGTTCGTACAGGCGTGCTTGCAATTCCTGCGACGAAAGGCTGCTGCCATCTTCACGCTCCAATCTATGTCTGATGGTCAGAAATTGAATTCAACTTTGCCAGTCGACGTTGTTTCCACCATTGTAATGGCGTTAAACAGTCATCTCAGCTCGATGTCACCTGCGCTCAGTACAGAAGTTCTGCAGATGTTGAGTCAGTGTCGACTTTCATCGGTCACTCGTGCACTGACGAGTCCGGTTTCGCTATCGCACGGTGGCAATCTCACTAATATGAGTACCGGAATGTCAAACA